ATCTGACACTGTTTGGTAGTAGGGGCCTTGTTTAAAATGTTTTGACCTGAAACCATTGCTGACTCCCTAGTAGCTGTTTCACATTCCCAAGGATTTTATTAAGGATGTAAACCTTCTCTTCTGGTTTACCCTTTACTTCATGGACACATGGCAGGGAGAGAAAAGGAGAATGCTTGTATGTGTATTAGGATTTGCACAGGTTGCTGAACATACTCTCGAAAGGTAAAGTATAGGAGATTACAGCTCACTTAAACAAGCCTCTGTAATGAAGCACCCCTCACTCTAGCCAGTGGTGGCCTTAGACCCTGGGCAAGAGAGTCATTTGGGGCCCCTTAGAGACTTAATTTTGATAACCTATGATCATGGATCTTTTTATTCTTTGGGGGAATTAGATAAATAGTTGAGTGTTAAAATGCAAATAGAGCCACTTTCTTGCAAAAACTTCACCCCCCAAAAATGTGTTGCAAAAATATGGTCCCCCCCCTAAAGTGTAGGGCCCTGGGCGATCACCCAGTTTGCCCTCCCCTAAGGCCATTACTGCTGTAGCTTGTGCTTTCCTTACAAGTCTGTAGAGTAGCTAGCTGTGCTGAGGCTTGTGTAGCAGTTTCCTTCAGCTTGATATGGTGAAAATAGTACAAGTCATGATATGTTATAACCTTCCAGTCTCCTCTGTCATAGACCTCTTGATCAGCTTCAGCAAGGGATAGTAGACCTCTACCATCTAACCTTGTTGCTAGGTATCCACTCTTGTTCTCCTGAGTGGGAGCCAGATCAGTTGCCAGCATTTGACTTGCATATGCAGTTCTTTGCAGCTTAGAAAATAACACTTGCAAAGTTAAATGGACTTCTGCCCACCCTCATATCTTGCACAAAATGTAATGCTAGCTGATTATTAGGAATTCCAGATCTGAAAAACTCTCCTTCATCATTTATAGTATAGAAAACCATGACATTTGAATCATGAATATCACTCCAGGTAGTAGAAAAATTAAGTTTTTAGAGCTACTCTGCTATAGCATTGTTATTACTAAGAGAGTTTTCATTGTGAGATGCTTTTCTAAATGAGAAATATGGCTGACTGGTGTACCCAGGACTTAGCTTCGTAACTTTGAATGTAATTTGAGTTAAGAGCCTGTTTATGCAATTAACGTTCTCGTTGTACTGATCTATGTTAGGAGCAGCATCTTGCAAGGGTTCAGTGATTCTCCCTCACCCCCACTTATCCTGGGGAAGAGGCTGTTTTCTGTTCACTTTAGTTTATCCCTTTCCAATTCAGCTGATTCTCTTACACTTAGTCTAATGAGTCTTTTCAGACTTCTTAAATCACAGAAGTTCAACCATATTATAAATTTTGCTAGTTTTAAAGGTTGTAATGATGGACTATAATGACATTCTCTGAAAACAAAGCAAAATAAGATCTGACCATGCAATTTTTGTTTTTAAGCCTGATGTACATTTGCTACTCTATGGATTGAAAAAAAAAAAAAAGAAATTTAAAATGTAGAAATGTAGTCCCTATTTATCTTTTTTGAGTGTGTTGTTATAATGTATTCTATGTTGTTCTTTGAACAGCTTTGCTTCTGACGTATTTCCTGGACTATCACAGTTACAACATCACTTTTAAGATTACTATGATAATTGGCACATATTCTATTGTGAGAAACAATGTGAGAGGATGTCCATTCACGAGACTTTTCTGGATAAAGGAAGCTGCCCTTTTCATCTAATCAATGTAGTACATTAGAGGAATATGAATTAATGATTTTGCAAATTATAGCTTTAAGTATAGGTTCACATGCAAAATCTTTGCCAGCTTTTATCCAGAGATAGTGTACTGCAAAATAATGTATGCATTTGTTTGTTAATCTGAAGTAAGCCAGCTCATAAGTAATAAAGAAGAAAACTAATGAGAGAGGAAAAAAAGTCATGTATTGCTGCTAATTTGTGGTGCAATGAGTTTAGTAATCTTTAATTATTTATAATAACTGATTCATAGATTCATAGATGCTAGGGTCGGAAGGGACCTCAATAGATCATTGAGTCCGACCCCCTGCATAGGCAGGTGGGTCTAGATGATCCCAGCTAGATGCCTATCTAACCTCCTCTTGAAGACCCCCAGGGTAGGGGAGAGCACCACCTCCCTTGGGAGCCCATTCCAGACCTTGGCCACTCTAACTGTGAAGAAGTTCTTCCTAATGTCTAGTCTAAATCTGCTTTCTGCTACCTTGTGGCCATTATTTCTTGTAACTCCCGGGGGTGCCTTGGTGAATAAAACCTCACCAATTCCCTTCTGTGCCCCCATGATGAACTTATAGGCAACCACAAGGTCGCCTCTCAACCTTCTCTTGCAGAGGCTGAAGAGGTCCAGGTGCCCCAGCCTCCTCATAGG